AGTGTTCAGTCTTAATGGCTACTGTGGCTACTGGAGATTTTCTGTACTTGTTAATAGATTTTATGTCATTTGTTTTGTTTTTTAGAAATTAATAAAATTTTCAAAATGTCTTTGTTAATCATGTTTTGTCTAGATGCATGTTTAAATTTTGAGATACTCCATAGAGAAATAAATGGCATATGGATTGGCAAGCTGCCTAAGTGTGTAAGCGTGCTTGCTGCCGTGGCTGGTGATCCCAGAACCCTCATGGTGGAAGGAGAGAATGTCTTCCCAAGTTGTCCTCAGACCCCTACACATGCATGGTAGTGTATACAGATGTGGGTTCATACACAGTTTGTTTATAGAAAGAAATGGTATATAACATATTAAAGAGTCTCTTACATGTAAAATTTGAAAACTATATGCGTAGCTCTTGCTTTTGATGTAATGCTTGAGGGAAATTTAAAACTTTAGTGCATCTGGACCATCTTAGACTTTTAGAACTTACAGGCCCTGGAATGTTATCATGACACTCCTGTCTCTCAACTTAGTGCTCCCTTATGTCATTTTCACTTGCTTTTCCCCATGTTGTGACCCTCTAAGATGTTGTCTTGAGGTAGGATCTCTTCTGGGTTAAGAGCTTGTTCTAGCTAGGCTGGCTGGTCAGTGAAACTCTGGATCCTCATACCTATCCCCAGTGTTAGAAGTTAGAACTCAGCTCATCATACATTGAGAGCAAGTGCTCCATCTTTCCAGCACCTCAGTTTGTTTTTTAAAGTCCTGGGTCTTTTTCTCTTATTTGTGACCTTGTTCATTTTGCTTAGTAGGATTTAGATAATCAGTACAACCTAAAGGCTTTTTGCTCATCTTTACTTACCTTCTTTAAGAAATCTTCCAAAGAGGCATTGTTGGTCTACCAATAATACCAACAAGGAAACAAGTTTTATTATTACTCAATTGCTGCTTATTAGATTTTAGAATGAAAATACCTAGAGTTAGATTTTCCTGGTACTTTCAGTTTTTTAATGTTGGAAGAGTTTTAAAGTTTCTAAAGTAATTTTAAAGTTCATGAAGAGGCCATAACATTGGGATATAGCCTGTCAGGAAGATAATGATATTTTACTGTGAAGGACCCCTACAAATTCAGTTTAAGCTTCATGAAAGCTGCATGGCTAAAACTAGAGTACACAACCAATAGTGCAAATGACAGTTTGGCTTTTTATTTGATGGACTGTAAATTGTGTTACAGTCAACTAAAGAGCTCAATATATAATATATTCTTAGATAAAATACTCAAAGTATGTAACTATATATTGTTTTAATAAAAATGAGTGGATAGAGGTAGCTTTATGAATAAGTAGATAAGAGTTTGATTAATATAATACCTAGAAGGCCTTTAGTGGGAACTTAAGTCAGTTATCTGAATAGAAGTTGTGTAGATGGGAGAATATTGAGTGTGGGAAACTTGGGAGGAGGTCACGTTACTAGCTTCAAAACTGTTTAACTCCGCAAATGACTACATCAATAAGTAACCAAGTAGTGGTTTGTGACTCGTGCTACCTGGATCTTGTCTAAGTTAGATCATTGGTTGTATACCATTGATGATTGCGTGCTGTCAGTATTAGAGCATTTGTGGGCGTAGTAGAGCGTAGGTGACTTAGTTCATCATAGATGTGCAAAACAGTACAGATGTTAAGAATTCTTGAGCGCTTTAGTTGCCACTGACTGTTGGCAAGGATTAGGAGTTAACTGGTAGTAACGTGAAAAGGTAAAGGGGCTCTGGAAAACACTTTGGTGATTTCTTTACAAAATAAATCATTTACTTGTGATTAGGTAGTCTGATACCACTCTAGGAATTACACAACAGAGGTGAAAACATTCGCAGACTAGAACTTGAATTTAATAGTTTCATTTGAAACACTCTACACAGGAAAATGGATAAATTACCACCAGTCAATAATAGAAAGAAATTTATTGGTGCAGTATGTATGAATTCCAAGCCTATCTAGTAGATATGCAGTGTAGATGTTATATGAAAAGTCACTATACTATGTTGCTTAGGAATAGTGACAGCAAAAATGTACTTGTTATAATATGGATGCAATTAAAAACTGTTTGTACTGTTTGTTGTGAAGTTCACTTGTACAGAATGTCAACTGTAGTAAAAGCATGTGAATGTTGACTTATTGAAGACTGGAGAAAGGGTATGTGTGAGTGTATGTGTGATGTAAAGAAACGTGAGAACCTGTTAAAATAGTGAAGGTTGTGATTTTATATTAAATTTAAATTGATAAATCATTTTAAAATTATACCTGAAAATTATTGTTTTCATTATTTATTTATTTTGCCTTTTGAGACTGTCTCACTGTGCATCCTGGAACCTACTTGGTCACCTCCCTCTTCGACTGCTGGGATTAAAGCTGTTGTACCACTATGCCTAGCTATACCTTAAAATTCTTCAGCTTGTTAATGATATCTGTAGTAGTTGGTATTAGGGCTCAAAATAGTTTCACTGAATTTTAGTTTTGGGTTTGTTTCAAGCATTCTCGTTGTGGTACGTTTAGTTTGGCTTTCATTAATTTTGGAGTAGTTTAGAACAAGATGCAGTGGTTTTTAAACCATTTGTGGGTCACATATCCGATATCTTGCACATTACAATTCATAACAGTAGCAAAATTACAGTTACAAAGTAGCAATGAAATAGTTTTATGATTGGGGTCACCACAACATGAGGATCATTATTAAGGGTGGAAGCATTGGGAAGGCTGAGGACCACTGATAGAGGAAGGCAGGTTATCTGAGGAGCACTGGCTTTGCAGTGATCATATAATGTATGTCACAAAGAGGTGATAAGTGTTAAAGTCAAGCTACTCTGAGCTAGTGTAGATATCAGTAACTTAAAAGCCTTGTAGAATATTGTTGTAAGAAGAGTTACTTTTAAAAAAAAAAAAATGGAGATACTGTGCTTGTCCTTGTTTGTGACAGGGTATTCCATAAGTTTATCAGATGCCTCTGATAAATGCTAGGAAACCCATTCATAGGAGGTAAACCTGCCATGACATTAATTTTATTTCATACTGTCATTGTTTATTTAAGTGGAAAAAGACTGAAATTGACCAGCTATACTAAACAAATGTTGACATTCTGAAAAAAGGTTTAAACAGTTAAAACCCACAGAGCCATACTGAAGGGATTGGTTTGTTGTTGTTTCCGAGACAGTGTTTCTCTGGGCAGCCCTGGCTGTCCTGGAACTCGTTCTGTAGACCAGGCTGGCCTAGAACTCATAGAGATCCATTCGTCTCTGCCTCCCAAGTGCTGGGATTAAGGATTAAAGCTGTGCACCACCACCACTGTGCTATGGAATTTTCTATTTGAACTACACATTCATATACTGTGTGTACATGTGTATGCATGTATACATATATGCACAAACGCTTATTTAAATGACAGAATTAAGTGATATTGGCTGGATTCATTTGTCATTTGAGCTGCTTTTTTTTTTTTTTTTTTAGTTAAATGGAATTGGCAACATCCAAAATGCTTGAAGTCAGACAGGGGAGGGCTGAAGAGACGACTCTGTGGCTAAAAACATCTGCTACTTTTGCAGGGTACCAGGGTTCTATTCCCAGCATTTGAGGGTTGGCTATCGACTGTCCTTAACACCAGTTCCAAGAGATCAGATGCCCTCTCCTGGCGTCCACAGGCGCTGCATGCATATGGTGTAGTTAAGTACATGCAGGCAAAAGACAGATACACATATTAAAAAATAAAACATAAAAAATTCTTTAAAATTCTGAATATTAGAGAAAGATAAAACTACTGAAGATTAAAAATGAAAGGTACCAATATTATTGGATTGTTACTGTGTATAAGTCTTGAATCAAATGCAGAAATACTTCACTTTGCATCTTTTTTATTACATGTTTTCACTTTTGCTTTCAATTGGGACTGATAAACTCACTATGATTTAATTTCACATAGAGCTCAAGCAGTTAATAAGAAAGTCGGGGGTGGGTGGCACAGGCTGGAACCTCAGGTAGCCTTTTTCTGATTAGATTAAATGGTACCTACTTTCAATTAGAAATCTTGGCAAAGTAAATCGTATTGGCTCAAAAATGATATTCTGGATATAATTTTATGTTACAGTGGCCTTTATTAAAGATAACTGCATTGTAGTACAGTATTTCTTACCTATTGAAAAGACCCTTTGCTATATCACATTTCATAGAGGCTTTTCTTTCTCCCCAGAATTCAGAATGCTTTGTTGTTAGTGTTAGAATGGTTTTGGGTTTCATTGTGCTTCATATTAATGACAGTCATTTTATACCTGATGAGATTTTAATTCCCTGTACTTTGTCATTTTAGAACTATACTTGAATGTACATGGTTTTCCATTCTTCGTTCCTTTATTTTATGTATATGAGTGCTGTATCTACACGTACACCTGCATGTCAGAAGAGGGTATCAGACCCCGTTATAGATGGTTGTGAGCCACCATGTGGTTGCTGGGAATTGAACTCAGGAACTCTGGAAGAGCAGACAGGCAGGGCTCTTAGCCACTGAGCCATCTCTCCAGGCCCATAGTCTTCCTTTCTAGTTATTGGAAGTACTGATTAATATAAGTAGTTCAGTATATCTGAGCTCTGACTTTGAGTGAAACAAGTAAAGAAAGATTAGTCAGATACCTGACTTGTTTTTGAGTAAAGTGCTTAAATTTAGTTTTTACTAACAGGATTTGACTTTATGGAAGTGCTAGATTCCAGGTGGAATGTGAATGCCATTTTTTTCTTTTTAAGATTTACTTTATTTTTATGTGTACATGTTGTCTGGGAGTGTATGTCACGTGCTATGCCTGAAGAGGTCAGAAAATGATTAGATATGCTATTTCTCTGTGCTCAGAGAAATGGCTCACAGGGGAAAAATTCTTTGTTATTTGAAAAGAATATTTCAGAGAGATTTAAAAAATTTTAATTTATCATGAAAATTTTAATCTTGCCAAATTTTTACTTTTTTCCTCTTAGAACAAATTCTCTACAACATTAAACAGGAGTATAAACGTATGCAGAAGAGAAGACATCTAGAAGCTAGCTTTCAGCAGACAGACCCAGGGTGTAGTTCTGATTCACAGCCACATGCATTTCTCATCAGTGGACCAGCATCACCAGGTAATAAAATGTTTTAATAAGCAAAGGAAATGTTATGTGAGAAATGATGGGGGAAATGTAATGCAAAATACCTGCAGTGATTTAGAGCACCTGCTTTTCTTCAAGATGAAAAGGTTACGCTAAGGCAGGGTTAGGTGCACGCCTTTAAATCCCAGCACTTGGAGGCAGGTGGACTTTTGAGTTCGAGGCCAGCCTGGTGTCAGTGGGTAGAGGACAGGCAGGGCTACACGGAGAAACCCTGTCTCCCTTTACCGCCCCCCCCCCCAAAAAAAAAGTTACACTAAGTAATTAATATATATTTTAAAATTAACCACCTGGATTCTCACCAGCCACAGACAGCCACCTTTATTTGGCACCCCTGAAATGGACACTGTAAGTATAATGATGGATAACTTAAAAAAAAAAAAATCATCAGTGGGCTGTCTTCCAGAGGTCCTGAGTTCAATTCCCAGCAACCACCTGGTGGTTCATGACCATCTGTATTGGGATCTGATGCCCTCTTCTGGCATGCAGGTGTACATGCAGATAGAGCACATATATACAAAATAAAGAAATCTTTTTTTTTAATCATGTGTACCAAACACTTTAAAAATACCCAATTTGATTTATTTTTATGCTTTTGCCTGCACTTATGTAAGTATAACAACAGCCTTGGGTGGTTTGTCTCTGGTGTCCAAGCCTTGGTCCATCTGGCATCTACTGTCACTGTCGCCTGGCATCCCTTAGGCATTGTAGGCTCTTAGCCACTCAAAGAACACTGGCTGGCTATGTTGATTTGTAGGCCTGGTACTAGCAGAGGCCAAAAGAGGATGTCAAATCCTCTGAAGCTATAGCTACAGATGGTTATGAGCTTTGTCATGGAGGTGCTGGGAACCATACCTGGGTAGCCTGCAAAAACAAGTGTCCTTAACTGTTGAGCCATCTTTCCAACATGGCCATATACTCTTCTGTTAGATAACAGGGTTGGAACACTGCCATTTTGTGAATTTTCTGTAGGTATTGATCTGGTAGTTATATTCAAATTTTTTTCTGATAGAATCTTTATACAAAGGTCTGTCCATGTACTCTTGGACATTTCTCACCCTGGGATAGATCCCTAAAAGTGTGGGCTTTTTTTTTTTTTTTTTTTTTTTCCTTTTTAATTGTATATCAGTTTTAAACCCATCTTTTCCCTATAGAGAGAATGGCCTACTGTTTTGTTTTGTTGTTTTTTTTTTTTTTTTTTTTTTTAAACAGTAGAAAAGGGCTGAAGTTACTTGGCCAAAAAAGAGCCATCTTACCTTTTCAATTAACACCCTATCAAAATAGTTTTTATTTTAGTAGAACCTGTTTTTCCTTAACAGGGAGAAGAAAGGTTGGTACAATTCATAACAAAAGATACAGGGTAATCAGTTAAAGCTTGATAGTGAAATGGTTCAACGGTGCTGCCAACTGTGGGAGTTAGGTTTACCAAGGGAGTGATTCTTACTAAAATTATACTAATGATTTTAAGTTCTCTGCGAAGTTAAATTCTTAGGATGTCAGTTGATTGCCAGCCTTAAGGAGGCTTGGAACTTCAAAGTAAGTTACAATAGGCTTGGCAGTTGGGGTCTAAAGCTCATGCACTTTATTTTGATGAGAAAAGGATCTAAGAAGTGTTAATTAGGATGAGTTGATGCAGGTAGATGAAGATGAGCAAACTGAAGAAAGCACTGTCAACATAGGAGTGTGCTTGTATTTGTATAGAGACTTGACGCAGGGGTGCAGTGGGTGGCCATCACAATCCCGAGTTAGCTGAAAGCCATGAGTGTTCTTAGGAGGTCAGAGTGCTCTAAGTGATCCTTAGAGGAGGACTGTCTAAGGAAATCTTTTTCCAGGAAATATCTCACCACTTGATAATATCAGTGGCTATTACATTAATAATCTTTCAGAACTTGGAACCATAAGATACAGATGGAATTTTCCCCTTCTTTAGACTATCCTAGCAGATTAATCAAAAACAGAAAAAAATAAGGATATCAGAGCTGCCTCCTTTAAGAGGTAATGAAATGAAAATTTCTGAAATTTTGTTTCATGAGTCAACTTCTGTCATAAAGTTAATACAGATTTGTGCTCTTAACAATTACTATTAGAGAGTTTTTTTAGTTACAAAAACACAGAAGGAATAATCTTGCTACTTTGAAATTGATAGTGGTGTTGAGGCTGTTTTGGGATACATTTGCTTTAGTTTGGTAACTTTGTGGTTCTGTTGCTGTTTTGAGTACTTGAATTTAGGTAAACTATATTAACAAAGTGGGGATTATGATCACTATTCAGAATTTAGAATCAATTGTAGTTCCTCAGTGAGGGATATTTCAAAATTTTCCTTATAGCAACTCTTTTTTAAGGTATAATTATCTTTTTTTTTTTTTTTTTTTTTTTAGACATAATTCTTTTAATAGGAAATTAAGGGGTTTGGAAAATGAGGAATATCGAAGTGGTGGAATAATATGGTTGTGAGGCCTTACTATATGGCCTTAAACTAATAAGCATTAACAATAAAACAAGTGTCTTTATAGTGGAATAATATAGAAAAGTAAAGCTGTAGACCATACTTAGAAGGGTTTTTTTTTGCAGCAAATTGTGTAAATTAGCCACTAAATGTTCTGAGCAGGCATGTGCTGGAATGGAGACTGAAAGTTTTGTAATAGGCTCCATCATAGCAATGATTTTGTTTTGAAGTTTTCTCCATCTTTAGTTTTTTTTCCTCTAGATAACACCCCCCCCCCTTTTTTTAATCAGTCATGGTCTGATAGAATTATTAGTTGGACCTGTTTATCATAAATAATAAATTTAAAATGATATGGGAAAGTTGTAAATGAAAACCTCATTCAGGAGGTAGTCTGTTGTGGTTCTAAATCAGGTGCTCTTTTATCCATGTTGTACACAGGGACTCCATCTGCAGCATCCTCACCGTTAAAAAAAGAACAGCCCTTATTTACTCTAAGGCAGGTTGGCATGATCTGTGAGCGTTTGTTGAAAGAACGGGAAGAGAAAGTTCGAGAAGAATATGAAGAAATACTGAACACAAAACTTGCAGGTAACGCATGAGTTTATTCTAGAATATCTTAGTGTTTTAGTCACAGTTCTATTGCTGTGAAGAGACACCATGACCAAGCAACTCTTATCAAAGAAAGCATTTAATTGGGGCTTGCTTACAGTGTCAGTGGCTTTGTTCATTGTGGCAGGGAACATGGTGGCATACTGGCAGTGCTGGAGCAGTGAATGTGCATCATGATCCTTAGGGAGAAGAAGGGGTTTTTGAAACCTCAAAGCCTCCCTCTGCCCCATACTTACAACCACACCTCCTAATCCTTCTGATTCTTTCAGAGTTCTACTCCTTTGTGACTCACATTCAAATAAATATCTGAGCCTATGGGTCCATTCTTTTCCATTCAAAAACTCACTGTAAGAAGTGAATTATTTCCCACAGGTGTTTTTACATTGGTGAAAAATATTCTTTCTGTACACTGATAGGGTGTTGTCTATTAACCAGAGAATTTCAGTAAAAGAAAATCAGCAGCCTTGAAGTTCATACCTTACCTTCATGGCCCCAGGAAAAAGCCAGCCATGTAGGTCAGCTATAGGGTTAATAAATTCAAATTTTTATGTTATATCCTGTGGAAAACACTGATTTGAGCTATTTACAGGTTAAGGGAAAAGATGAAGTTTTTAAAGAGTGTTTTCACATAACTTTATATTTTCAAGTTATATAACTGACATATACCTCTATTTGTAGAACAATATGATGCATTTGTGAAGTTTACGCATGATCAGATAATGCGGCGATACGGTGAACAGCCTGCTAGTTGTGAGTATTTGACCTCTGAATTACAAACTGACAACATTATGTTTCTGTATTTAAGAAGAGAGTTGATAAAAATAAATGTGGAGAAAAGGTTAGTTTAAAATACAAGTAAAATGTAACCCAAATATCTAGGGGTGATACTAGGAATGAATTACCCTGTATGTTTTAATTTTGTCCAGTTCTTTATACTAATACTCCTTTTCTCCTCCAGATGTTTCATGAATCACGCTTTTTGCATTTGTGGGCTGCCTTGTTCCTTGTTGAGTTGTTGCAGGAGGTCCCAACTGTGATGTGCAGCAATGCCAGTACCCATCTGTGAACACAGGTTATTTCAAGCTTTCGTCACTGGCAACCACTCTTAGGCAGCAGCCGTTGGTTTTGGAAACTTCTGTGATGTCACTACCACCTGGATGTGGACCTTTGCTACTTGTATTAATACCAGTGGCCTCGTTTTGCTGTATCATTACAATTTGGCTTCTTTATATTAATGTTTGAAAGGGATTAAAGCTGGCATTCTAGAACATGCCCTTCACTGGTTATGTAAATAAAACTGTAGAATGACACGTCAGATGAAGTTAGTGTGATTTTAATTGTGCACTACAACCAAGCTGTAACCAGTTATTAATAATTTAGAATGTAATCCCAGGACAATTAAGCAGTTAGTCTACAGTACTTCTGTGAAATAGTGGAGGAGAAAGAAGAGGAGGGCATTTTTGTGTTTCAGGATTTTTCTTGGGGTTTCAGAATGGGTTTATATGATTTCCTTTATTATTATTTTTTGGTAGTTTTATTTATTCTATCAGTCTTTTTAACAAATGTTTATTGCTGCACTCCCCACCCCCCACCCCCCCCCAGTGTATCATTGTTTTACTGCCCTTGTAGCACTGGAGTTTAGTTGGAAAAAATAAAACATTTACTTCTATTCTGCCTGTTTTCAAATTGTACACATGGGTAGTATTTGAATAAAGTAGTGTTTTTAAATGTAAGTATTTTTAGAAATCAATGAAGTTAATTTTCTGATAAGATTTACCTTTTAAATGCAGTTTCTAAAAATTAAGTTTTGATTGAAAATCGCTTCTATAACTTGCTGCACAACAGCATGTTACATAACAGGTTCTGAAAACAGCTGTTGAACTTCTACCTTTGAGACCAGTTTTAAAGTTTTTCAATGATGTGATACAGGGAATCGTGGTTGCTCTAGCTCAAGTGATAAAATGCCCCAGGGAAAAGCAGTTTATTTTACCTCATAATTCCAGGTTACAGTCTGTCCCTGGGGAAGTCAGAGCAGCAGGAACTCATTCACAGGTAAGAGCAGAGAGCAGTGAATGCCTAATGCTCAGCTTCCTCTTACACAGTTGAAGTGGGTGTTACCACCCACTTTCAGGCCATTCAGTTCCCAGACATGCCCACAGGCCAGCCGGACCTAGCCAAGCCTTGTTGAGACTTAGGAGATCCTAGGTACAACTGAGTTGGCAAAATTAACATCTTGGGGGTGGAGAGAGGATCAGCACTGGTTGCTTTTGTTTCTGGCACCCACACAGCAGCAGCATCAAATGATGCCTCTTCTGAATGCCAAGGTCTGCATGAACACGGTGCGCACACGTACACTCAGGGATGCACACATAAAGCATTACATATAGAACACTACCATTACAGTGAGTGAATGAATAAATGCAACACACTCTCCACACAAAGCTTTCTTATAAAGGAGTGAACACGCTGAAAGTGCTAGCCACACACGTATAATCTTAGTAGTTCGGGGATGGAGGATTAGGGGGTTCAAGGCCATCCTGGCCAATATGAGAGCCAACCACCTCCACCCTCAACCCCCACCAACATTGCTCAGTCAATTATTTTGAGTTTTTAAAAATGAGTGTATTTGTATGTGTCTGAAGCCATAAGACAGACAGTTGTTGAGCTGCCCATATGGGGGCTGGGAACTAAACTGTCCTCTGCAAGACACAAGAACATTCTAAACTGCTGTCTCTGCTAGCCCCTTCTGAATTTTAATAGCATACTTCCAGTCATTAGACTAATCTTAAATAAAACATACTGTGTTATTTGTAATACACTCACTGAAAACAGGATTTTGTGTCTTTTTAACTGTGTATTCCATAACCTCATTTAAAAATAAACCCCTAAAGTGTGTTGTATGGCTTCAGCAAGATCCCAAGCAGTTCTCACCTCTCTTAGTGCATGAGAAAAAAGTCATAAGACAGGGTGGCTAGCTGAAGCTCATTCCCACTTAGTAGATTTTCAGCCTTAACACTATTGGCACTCTGTATTCTGGAGTGTTAACGGTATCTCTTCCCTTTCCCAATTTGTCAACTAAGACCTCCACATCTTTCAAATTTAGCCCTCAGCTTGTTAAGAAAATACAGAAGTTGAAAGAATAGTGGCATTGTTTACTTGAATTTTTCTTTTAAGTATAAACTGATAGCTTTCAAAAGTTTTACTTGTTAACGGTAAAATGTGTGCTTCTCTGTAACCTCAGTGCTATGTATCTAAAGTAGATGCTGTCTACATTCAAATCTCTTGTCAGGTGCTTTTAGCCCTATTCTTCCAACCTCTCCCTCCCCACCCCAAGGATTCAATCAAGATTCCAACTTGAGTTTTCTTTGTGCTTCCATTAACCTGACCTATCCTTTTGAAGTTACAAACCAGAAGCCAGGTCTAAAGGTTTAGGCGGTTTTTTGTTTTTTTAATATTTGTATATATGTGTGCACATGTGTGCAGGTACCCACAAAAGGCAATGAGAGGGTGGTGGATCCCTTAGAGCTGAACTGTCTTGAGTAGCCTGGTATGGTTGGTACAAACCAAAGTCTGATCTTTTTGGAACAGCACGTGTTCTTAACTCAGGATAAAGCTGTCTGTGTAAGAATGTAAGGTGATGCTGTGGTGTGCGTATGAGATAGCATCATATGGCTTTCCAGGTTGCTGCTCAGTTTGGATACACTGGTTCGGTCATTTGTTAAGTTTATTTCACAATCAATTACAAGTTACCTAAGATTTCTACATTGTTAAATATAGTCTATGAATAGTATTTGAACTTGAAACTATTCACTTGGCTTCTAAGATACTTTTATAATATCAGTATAAACTTCAAAGCTGGGGTTGGAGCTCCTTGCCTTTCTTTTCAGTACTTATCTTCTCTATTATAACATTTTATTCACCTCATTGTGTGGTATTTTCACTTGAATGTGTAATAGGCATCTCCTGATTTTTATATCCAAAGCCAAATCATTTTTGCTGCTAATCTTTCTCTCAACCAATTAGCCTTCCATGACTATGATAAAATACTCAGGTTGATTGATTTTTTAATAGTTGTCCTTGTTACTTTGGTCTGTAATGAGGCAGCAGCATATGGCTGGAGTACAGGGCAGAGTGGTTAGCTAATCAGCAAGGAAGAAGAGTAAAGAGAACTGTTGGCTCCTACTGGTTTCCTTAGAGTCATGTTCCCAGTGACCCAAGAAGCTATTTGACCTTACTCTTAGAGATAGCACTGATAGGACTGAACCTAACACATGCTCCTTTGTGTATACCTGGACCACACCACTGCAAGCCTTTTGCAGGAAGGACCTTAAGGCTCTTTATGCATGTCTAATCGTAGTCTACCTACAGCGTCACCATCTCTACTGATGTTACTGTAGTCTAAGATTTATTTGCCTTATCGCAGTGATCAGCTGCTTCTTTGTTCCTCTTACTGTGCTTACAACAGGAGATGATCATTTAAAGGCTTCACTTCCTTTGCTTAGATTGCTTCTTACTTAAGAAAATAAGCAGCCCTTGTAGTGATCTATGGAGCCTCGTTACCTGCATTCTTCCCCTTCTCAGTTCCTATTGCTTGAGCTACTGTTGTTGATTATTAATATTTATTATTGATTTATCGCTTAGCTAAACTGCAGTTATTCCTAAACCAGCTGTATACCCAAATCACCACACAGAGACTAGGATTTATTTAATTAACCTAGAGCACAATGCTGGGCAACAGTTACTCCATCCTAAACCTCCAAGCCCGCATAGTTTCCTCCTGTTCAGATTTCCCACATTATACTTGCTTTTAGTTATATCTTAGGTCCAGTACATTTCTGCTGCTGCTCCCAGGTCCTCCTCCCCAGACCAGGATGTCCCACCCTATTCTCTCCATTGCTCAGCACTGGCTGGTTGTTTTATTGGCAGAACAGAGAACAAATGGTGGCATGTTTACACAAACTAGAGACAGGTGATGCTATTTCCTATTGAAACCAGATAGTGGGGTAGAGCAATCAGCACTTGAATGAACAAGGGTAAATGTATATATTCCACAAGAATGTATTCTATCAACAAGCCACCTTACCCATTCCAGCTGTCTGTGTTCTTTTGATATGGCTGGCATACTCCCATCTTAGGATGCCTGTTACTGTTACTTGCCTGCTGGGGTCACCCATAAATCTCCATGGGTAGTTTGTTCAGTCCTTGTAGTTTTGCTCAAGTGAGGTGTGCTCTGACCACTCTTTAAAACCACAGTGACAAGTCTACTTCTTAGCCTGCTGTTACTTGTGTATATAATACTATAAATAGTGTGTTCTGCTTTGCTAAAGTATTAGAAAGGCGTGGACCTTTTTATTTTCTGAAGTATCTCAGAAGTACCAAGCACATGATGCATGCTTAGTATTAGCAAACTTAAAAGTACTTCAAGATTTCAGTTTAGAATACCCTAATTCTAAGTAATTCTAGTTGAGGTTTCAGTTTTCCTCAGCTAAGGATTCAACTGACTAGGATACCAAGTAATTACACAAATCAGCTTAATGGTTCAGTGTTACAGGTATTTTTGATTGTATGAGAAAACATTCCGTTGTGCTGCTCTTAAGTGGTAGAGAAAACCAGCTGCATATGACATGCACAAAAGCAGGTAAATAACCTACAAAAAGAAAAAAAAGCAAGAACATGTGCCTCAGACAAGATAAAAACTTGCCAGTATTGAGACCAGCTCCTCTGTGGTATTGTTTAAAGAAATGTCTTCTGATCTGGACATAATGTAAATTCCTTCTAGTGTTAGCACTTGGGGGTGGGGCTGAGGAGAAGGGATCATAAGATTGGGGCAGTCAAGCAGAAAGCCCAGGTTACCCAACACTGGGGCCAGCTGGGGAGATGAAACTTCTCAGTCTTATTCTCATGTATCTATGTTCCAGGGGTTCAGATGAGTTCTGCAGGGGGTGACAGTGCACACCTTTAATTCCAGCACTCAGGAGGCAGGGGCAGGATGATCTGAGTTCCAGGATAGCTAGAGCTACACAAATAAGTACTGTCTCAAAAAACCAAACCAAGCAACCAACAACAAACAAGAAAATGAATTCTGCTCTTCTAGAGGGCCCGAGTTCAGTCCCCAGCACCCACATCTAGAGGCTCAACAACTGAGTGTACCTCCAGTTCCAAGGAGATCCTGTGACCTTCTTTTGTACTTCGCTCATGCACATACCCACCCCCTACTGAGAATTGCTCTTAAAGCTGTGTGCATGTCTGTACACACGTATGCACACACCCTGCAATACAAGTTAAACTGGAAGCTATTTAAGTTTTTTTTCTGGACATGGGCTCTGCACCATTTGCAGGCAATTTTGGCGTAAGTCTCTGATTCTCTTGGGGGTTGAACATTAAATAATGAGCTTTGGGTGTCAGTTCTTACCATGAGAGACATCTAGATATTATTTCACTTGGGCCTTTACATTTCCGAGTTTTGTAAGCTAGGTATAAGGTTTGTGAAAGTCTTTATTGGCTTTAAGTTTCCACAGCTGTTCATGTGAATATATACTAGCATTAAGTATAACAGCAAACAGCTTTGGATCTGGTAAGTTGCTAAGACTATGAGAAAAGGGGAGGCAGAGGTGGTCTTAGAACCTTTCTAGCAAAGACAAGACAGTGTCATTTACACAGTATCCACTCAAGATTGATTTGCTTAGAATTTAGTATGACTGTAAAAGTGTGGCAATATGTAAAAGCTTTTAGTCATTTATGCATTTGTTGATTAGACTGAAATACTCCAGAAACGTTATGATACACAGGTCAGCAGTACGCTTCCTGGTTATGCTCAACTCAGCAAGAGTCTCTTCTAGGGGATGCAAATGTCAGGTTTCTTTTTCATCTGATGTTAGATGTGGAACTCCTGTCTTCACTCATGCTTTTTAGCAGCCGCCCCATGTCAGTCTTGCTACATGGTCAGTTTTCTTCTTTGTAGGTTTTATAAAACCTAAAAGTTCTAATTCAGAAACAGCTCTAATAAATCGAGCACTGGAGGATCTAGCTAAGGAAAATTAGGTGGTGTTTTTTTTTTTTTTTTTTTTTACAAATTTCAAAGTTAGAATAGTAACTGAAAGACAGGTGTGGTGAGTGGTGCACACACCTGTAATCCCAGTACTCTGGAGACAGACAGCCTGGTCTACAGAGCGAGTTCCAGGACAGCCAAGGCTACAGAGGGAAAACCTGTGTTGAAAAACACAAGAAAAAGTTACTGGTAAATTGAACCGGGTGGCTGCTGGAAAATATTAAGTGCCGTTAGGACACCCCACTAAGGGTCACATGAGCTGCACTTACATAATAAGCCCAGCGTGTGGGAGGCAGAGGCAGTTTGAGGCTGTCCTTGGCTATAAGTCAAGTTTAAAGTTAGAAGAGACTACACGATATTGTCTCAGAAGAACAACAACATGAACAAGCAACAAATGGAACAGTGTTTATATCACAGCTGTCCCCTCCCCAAACTCCTAAAAGCATATTCAAAAAGGTGATGATTCAATAATGACAGTTTCCTAGATGGCACATGCCTTTAATCCCAGCACTCAGAAGCAGAGGCAGGCAGATCCTGTGAGTTGGAGGTCATCCAGGGCTACACAGAGAAACCCAACTCCTTCTTAGTAAAAAACTACAATATAGCCCTTCCCTGTCATGCCAAGCCTGCCTGCTAAGGAGCTGCCATGAGCAAGGCCACCATCCACTGAAGAAATTCATGGCCAAGAAGTTCTCACTGAAGTCAAACAGTGGCCTAAGAAACGGCAGCAGCACGCAAGAAGTCTTGGAAAGAGTAAACGATGTCTGCTCAGCAGAGCATCCACATTCCTCCTTAAACGGCCTGTTTGATTGTGGTGTAGAATTGAGTCATCTACATTCTCATATGAAACTTTGCTAAACTTTTGTGATGCCAAAAAAACAACAACAACAAAAAAAAAAACACACCTAGACTATAAATTGAGAATATAATTTTAGGTTTGATCTCAGATTAAATTCAGGATACTTCGAAATTTAGGTTGCTTTCAGGTGGTATGGTTGAGAAGCAATCGTTATGAATTTCTAGATGTGGATTTTTTGTTTACTTTTTGTGTTAGGGCTTGAGTTCAAGGCCCTGTGTTTAAGCAAATGCTCTATCACTGACCTAGACTATCCCATTCAGGAAACTTAAAATACTGTTAATATACTGTTAATAACAGGATACTAGAATTGGTTTTAAAAGGATACTGGATAATTTCACTCATTTCTTCTGAGGTTGTAGAATTTGCATCCATTTTTTCAGCAGCTGTCACAACTGTTGCAAATGCCTTTTGAGCATACAAGACAGAAGAAAATAAAACTTGTTGCTATGCATCTTTTTCTTTCTTTCTTTTTTTTTTTTTAACTCTTGAGATGTTTCTAGAACAAATCAGGCTTTAAAACTGTTGCTGTAGATAACTGGCACATCTTTTTTCATATCAAGAGTTTAAATTCTCAATACCACACTAATAGGTTTGGTCAGTTATTCACTAAAAATAGTAAAACTGGCTCTTTGTGAGTTTGTTTTAGAGGATTAAAGTAGAACAGCAAGCAAAACAAAACAGAAACATAGCTAGTCAAAATCTAAGAAGCAAAGAAAGGCCTGTTTCTTCTACTATCAATCTTCTACTATCAATCCAGGAAAATGCTTATTTTTCTTGGAAGAGGCTAATTCAGCATGTCTTCTGATGGTATCGGTCAAATGTCAGATGGGGCTTTTGACAGTCTGGACATGCATTCCTGATTGGAATTCCTCCTGTTATGTGAGATATTCACTGTACCCTGCCTTCTGAAGTGCAGAGAGCTGACCTGGATCCTTTGGCTTTTCCTTTCAAAGAATACAGGACCAGGACAGGAGCCAGTGCGAGGGTGCAGCCTGCTAAGCTACTGCTTCCTAATTTATGCCTTCCAAACAAAATTTAAACATAAAAGTTTAATTTAAAGCAATTTTTTTTTTTTTTTTTTTTAAGGAAAGCTGTCTGAAACAGTTAAACAACTAACCTGTACTTTTCTTTGTGGCCTACCTCTGACCAGTCGACAAGGTTGATCAGCCGGCTACACTCCAGGTGCAGTTTATAGGCGATACAGATGTCAGGGGCACTATTTGGAATGCAGCCTTCCTCACTTTTCAGTGCTTCATTCTAAAAGCAGCAGATTAAAAACAAAAACAAGTAGCAGAATTCCTAGCCTAAGCTTACTGAATCAGAACATAGAATCTTCTCGTAACACTTGAGTAGTTTGTTTACTTGGGTTTAAGTCTTGGCCATATTCCTTTAGGTCTAAGCCACTCTCCCCATAAGGCCTTTTTTTTTTTTTTTAAATCTTAATTGTGAATTACTATTTGCGGAGACTATCATAATACATTTCAGTTTGCTGTAATGAGTTTAGAATTCTATGGAAATGATTACCCAATAAAATGCTACTTCCAACATTTGAATTCTAGCAGTTATGTGGTATTAATACATCTCATTAGCAAGAGTACAGTAAAAGTGATCTCTCAAAAACATTTCTCAGCACTACGGTTTTTGTTTTGTTGTGGAAACAGGGTATAAAATATATATATATATATATATATATATATACATACACATACACCAAGCTCCCACTCCAGGCAACTCGCAACTAATTTTATCCCTTGTTCTGTATTCCATATAGTCTGGGGTAGCCACCATAATCTAACCAAAAGTACAGAATTTTTTTAAAAGACTTTTTATGTGTATGAATGTGTCTGTGTGGCATTAAGTTCAGTCATCTGCAGAGACCGGGAGAAGGCACCAGAGAAGAGGTGGAAGCAGTCAACCACTGAGCCCTAGAGAAACTGGCAGTACTAGTCTCACTTATTTGAAATCCATGTTTTTACTAAGAAACAAAATCTCATACACAAAATGCATCTAAAATGACATGTTTGTTTCTGTAAGTCTACACTAAGTGTTTTAATTTGTAGTTTATATATCACAACTTTTTCTTCTCTTTTAAAAAATGGATTCATTTATTGTATGTGCATAAGGGTTGGTGTATGTCAGGGTTGGAGAGTTACAGGGGTCAGGTTTCCTTTCCTCCACAATTTGAGTCTCAGATTAAACTCATACAATCAGGCTTAATGGCAAATGCTCTCAACTTTCTGATTGAGCCATCTAACCAGCTCATGTTATTTAAACATGAAATTATCAACGATGGAGAGGTGGCTCAGGAGTTTGGAGCTGCTAAAGCAGAGGCTCAGAATTTGGTTCTAGCTTCCACTCCAGGCAGCTTACAAATAATATGGACTCTTGCGGGCACTGTACTAACATGAGCACATACCCATACACATACATAAAACAAACAAGTGTTTAAATATGAAACTATCAAGCTCCAAGTTGGCACCGTATCGAAAACCACTGCCATAACTTCCTCCTCAGTATTCTCCCATACTTCACCGTTGTGTGCCATATTACAATGAACAAGAAAACAGTAGTTTGGGAGATTTTTTTTTTATGGAGCCACTTTTAACAAAAAACATAATTACTATGTGTATGTACATGAGTGGTGTTTGTGGGCATGCATGTACTGTGGGTGGCATATGTCAAGGTCAGAAAACAATTTTGTGGAATAAGCTCTTCTAGGCACAAATCTCAGGTTATGGGGCTTATTACAAAGCAGTCACTTTAGCCCCTGAATTATGCTGACTGCCCACTTTACTTTTTTTCAAAATCTCAGTAACTTCAAACTGGCTCTGAACTCAGTAATCTTCTTGCTTGAACCTCAGTAGTGTTAGAATTACAAACATGCTACCACTCCTGACTTAAGAGTGCCAAATAACGTGTCTTTTCTGAAAGGAAAACTTCCAACCTATTTAGAATCTAGGATTTTTTTAAAATTTTTATTTATTTTAAGAAAACAATGAGTGGCATCACCCAGAGCTGCAAAGTTTCTGCTCATTAACTGAAAACTAGAGAATGTACTTGTGATGCTGATGTCTAGGTCTAGAGCTTAACTGGAAGAAGTAAGTTTCCTTCTTACCTTGAGATAATAGTAAGGATTGTTGAGTGCAGTGTGGAGGGCAATTCTTGGCGCGGCATTTAAGTGCTCGCGGAGTGTGTGGGCAGCACTGAAGTACACTACCTCATGCAGAGGCTGGCTCTCAGGAGGCACAAGGTAATCTCTGAAACAGTCAAGTCCCCATCACCTTTAGATAACAGGCTGATTTTCAGTTCAACAGTTCTGTCAATCCTCTATGACTGAATATATGTTATTTTTAAACAGTGAAATCAACACCAAACAAAAGCCAAGTAATGGATCCCATAGCGTTTCACCCAGAATTATTTCAGTACTACTTTTAAAACTTCCTCTGTATTTCTGATGGCTATTCTTGTTGATCTACTTGACCACATCTGAAATTAACTTAAAACCAAAACAGCTGGGCACACCTCTGAGGCATTTTTCTTACTTGGCTTATTTGACGTGTGAAGACCTTAAATCTCAGCCACATCCTCTCATGGCAGCCTATATGAAGGACATGGAAGAAAGCTTGTTTTTGCCTCATTTTTATAAGCTCATACACGCTTTTGCTGAGAGATTCCTTCAGTGGTTATTAGAGTTTACCTCTTCAGGACTCTCACATATGCTGAAGACAAGATCCAGCTTTGTGGGCTGAACAACCATTGGATTGGATTCTTTGGAGTTTCCATCAGGAAACAGCCATTGTTGGACTAGCTGAACCACAATCTGAAAGCCACTCTAATAAATAAACTTTTTGGTACATACTAATCAATCAGTCAATTAATCATTATATCAGTTCTGTTCCTCTACAGTATTCTTTAGAAGGAACTGTTTCAGTTCTAAGTCAAACCATTAGTCAAACATTTGAGCATCTGTTACATTTATGCTTAAAGTCTCTAAAGTAGGACTTTTAAAAGTTATTGTTGAATTTCTTAAATTATTCAGGAAACAGATCAACATTTTACCATAGCAAACATTCTAGTCTTTTGAGAATGTGTTATACACTGCCTGAAATTGAGAGTTTAGGAAATCTTTTTGTATCATGAAAAAACATTGTAATAAATGATATTCCAGCAGCTTTTTTTTTTCTTATAATAGAAACTAGTTAAGACCAGGCTAACAAGATGGCTCACTGCATAAAAGCAGTTGCAGAGTAAATTGAGGACCTGAGCTTGACGTAAGAAGCCAGATGAGGCCAGTGCCATGGGCCTGGGACCAGAAGCATTTCTGGCTGGCATCCAAGGTACAATGAGAGACCGTGTCTCTGAGGAATAAGGGACAGCATGATAGAGGAGGCCTTTGGCCTTTCCATGTGCACACCCTTGTATACAATGCACATACACCACCACCACCAACACACACACACACACAAAGAAAAAAACGAAAGGTTAAATTTAAAGCCTTCAAAGACAGGTTGTTGAATAATAAAATTTTAAGTGTAAAAATAAGCATAACTTAGAACTTTTTTATTTTTTTACTTTGTTGCCTATGAGCTAGAACCAATTTTAAAATCCAAACTTTGGCAAAAGGGAAGATTAGGAACAGGAATGACTCAGGGCTATACAGTGCTGTATAGAGTGTGCTGTAACTGTCAGCACTTAAGTGTTAGTCCTTACCAGGTCTTCAACTCAATTTTGAATGGACTGCCTTTTTTTTTAATGTCATATTTTCTTTTTAGCTTTCTTTTTGTTATACTTTGTTGTTCATTTTACCTCTTTCCTAGCAGTAATTTTTTTCTTCAATAACTAGGAAAAACAACTGCCCTCAAAATTGTCCTGGAAAATAAAAAATTTCACTTTAAGGAAGGGCTTGATATTTACCAAAAATATATTCATCTAAAAGGTACTAGTTTTTCCCATAACCATTCTATTTACTGCCTCCTCTGCTGGCACATTTTAACTGCCTTCATTTAAAAACATAGCAAACTGCTTTCCCACCTTCCTTTCTTCTTAGGCAGTCTCAGTAGTCCAGGCTGATGGAAAACTTACTCAAGGCCATGCTGGCCTAGAATGTCCGGTGATTTTCTTGCTCTGGCCTCTCAGATGCTGGGGTTATATGCATGAGCTATCACATTCTGCTCTGCTTTTACTAGTTACGATATTTTCTTTGGTATACTTAACATTTTTATAATATGTATATATCCAAAGTTTCCAAAAGATCACTTGGATTTTTAATTTCATGTATATACAGAAATGGCTTTTGGGAAATACACAGAATGATCTAGGCATCCCAAGAAAGACTCATAGAACAAACGAGGACACATTGACAGTTCCTGAGTAGATACTGCAATATAGATTTGGTGGTGATATTCAGTTGTCCTCATAATATATTCAGAACAAAACAGTAGCAAGGCTACTATACAATGTCTGTTTCTGGGCTTGGCCAGATCCAACATTTACTACTTCTTTAGGCAGAAAAATGATTGGAGTAGAATGCAAAAAAGGGGGAAATACTTTAAAACTTCCTGTTTTTTTCTAACCTGGCCTAATTAGCTAAGTTTAAACCTGCCTTTGTCATTTGATTAGACAACAGGACAGACGATCAATAAAAACACCCACTTTATTTAGATGGAAGAAACACCGTGGACTGGCTCTGTACGCTGAGTTTACTGGTGTCATTTGGAAAAGCAGGATTACTTGAGTTCTCCAGAGTCCTAGACTTACCTTACCAAGCTGTCTATGAAGTTGACAACATTTTCTCTGAGCACTTCAAATTTGGTTTGCTTCTTAGCTGTTCTCCTTGACTCCTTCATTTCCAGTAAGGACTGAGTGGGTAAAAGAACATACCATTCTTGGTGATTCTGGGACAGAGAGCTGTCACTCGTGTGGAGAGGCAGCTGATGCCCTTATGCAGAGAGCAGACAAAGATATGCTGTATTTTCTGTTAACAATTAGGGAAGACTCTTCCCTCTACATGTTTTGCTTTAAACATACATCAAGTGAATGTTCAAGGAAAGAGGAAGAACACAGTTTACTTCACTGCTAGTTATACAAGAGTGCTCACTACTTAGAAATCAGTACATTTAGAATCATTAGGAAGAATGCTAGAAAGATAGAAAAGCCCATCTATTAATATCAGACTGAAATTCTGTAATACTTGTAACTTGGTAATATGGGATAAAGAAGGGCTTTGACAATAAAGAGCTAAAAGTGAATTATCTGAAAAAGAATACTGGGCATATTGTGGCTCAGTTTCTTTCTTACCCTGTGAATGCTCACTAAAAAAGAAAAGGGCTGAGACTGTAGCTCAGTGGTAGGGTTCCAGCTAATGGTGAGACGCCCTGGGTTTGGTTCTCAGCACATCAAGAAAATATGACTTAGACTCTCTTGAATCTCTTATCAAAAAGAGAAATCAGTACATTATCTCATCATCATATTTTTATACGCTATATTCCCATTTTCCTTGTATGGACAGTTGATTCTGTTTTCTTCCTTGAGACTTTAGTGATGGTTTCTATACTGAGTGGCAGACTGTGCACTGTGTACATGCACAGTCTAGGGTGACAGTGAGACACACAGTATTACAGGACAGAATGGAAGCTACCCCTCGGTGGAGATATGCCATTTCTTTCTCTTGAGAATGAATTCAGTCAAGGGCCTGGCTGGGCAGTTCCCCTTGTATTAGCTGGTTCATTTACCTTAAGATATGTGCTTTTCATGCCAGAATTCCCAGCATCTAGTGTGGTTAGTAAAAGCCTCCACGAAAGTTGGCTGTAAGTCTTTGTGAATACTGACTCGGGCAGAATTATTTCTTTTTCTCCTTTCTTCTTTTGCATGCTGGTCAGAGCCTAACTATGCTTCTTAATGTCCTAACCCTTTGGGCTTCCATATTCTCTAACGCCAAACTCCCTGTCCTGTCACCCTGCCAGCATCTCTTACCTGCTTTCCTCCTCCAGACAGCTATGAGAATTAAAACTTGCCTGCCCTAAAGTTTTCATTTGTTTGTTTTACTCTAATAAATTACCCTCAAGGTTGTTTGAGTACTTGATTAAATTTTTATTAATGAGACTAATGACTCCCCTCACCTCTCCAAAGGATCTCAATTTCCCTGGTATTATATAATGGCTCCACTGGAGTTCCTCAAGATTTCCTATAACACTTCTTTCCTGCCTTCTAATTCTTTAATGAGCACAGAAAACCAACCGCTTCTTTCAGTTTAGATGGCAATGGTATGTCTGATTTATTAGCTCCAGTCTGTTCATATTGTTGCTGGTTGTAATGTAAATAAACGAAAGTAGAGACATTATGCAGATTGAGTCTAGAACACCAATTAAAACAAGGACACTATCACCAATGCAGCTGGAAGGAAAGGAAAGCTATCTGACCTTCTGAAGGTGATAGAGGTCTGTCTTCTGCAGCCCCTTTATCTGTGATCCACAAGCATTATCGTCTTCTTTGCTATCTGCTTTAAATACAAAATCAATATACAACAGAGAGAACAGGCATCAGCACTAATCCAATGGAAGCAGAAGTTACACTTTCTTTTTAATATGGGCAAGATTCTGCCAGACAAATGATACTCCTTCCAGAAGCTGAAGACAGTACATATCAAATTGTTTATATGGCAGTGAGTTCTTCAACAACTAGCTACTGAATTCTGAACGTTTTGAGCCAACAGAACAAAAGCCTGTGTTAAAAAAAAAAATATATGAACTTGAAATTACTTTCCTTTGACCTTGTTAAGGTTATACGCATGATCAGCTACCTTCTGACACACCTGGTCTCAACCTTCCAATTTAGTATTTTTGAGTCATTACTCTTTAATATGAAGAAGGTGGTTTATAAGAGCTGTAAAAGGAACTCAGGGACAATAAAACCTTCAAGTCTTTAGCTGTGCTTCTGGCGGGTATGTTGCTAGGAATTGAGAACCTGAACACCTGCAATGGTTCAAGTATGACAGAAGAACTTGGCTAAAGAATATACATTAAAGAACCAGAAGCCAATTCCTGATTTTAGAAAGGCATAACCTAAGATTTGGACAACTGTTAGCTAAATTCTTTATTCAATTCCATTGACATGTAGCAGAACCTTAAAACTGATTAGAACAATCAGCCTGATTTAACCCCAATTTAAGTCCAAATTACAATATGCCAATAGTGTAAAGAAACCATTAGATGACAAATAACAAAGTATTTCTTCCTGTGAGAAATTTTAAGTTGTTATTAATAATAATTGATTTTTTAAAACTGAGAAATAAAGACAGATCATCAGGATGGTGGTTTTGCTTTAATTCATAAAATGTTGTATTCTTTATCGTGTTGTCAAACACTTTAATCTTTAGCCTCTCCCATTTGAAAACTGCAGTCCTTAGTGCTAGCTATCATAAGATTTGTTCACTAGGCCATATTCTATAAATTCTCATTAAAATTATTGTGATATCTACATTAATAGAATTCTTGAGTCCACTTTATTTTATACTCTGGTTAAAGGACTATCAATGGGCAGGATATTACACTTACCATCAAGGTTCTGAAATAGCATCAGGAAATCCTTTATTTTCTGTGTTGTGTTGCCAAGCTGCGTTTCAGTAGAGGAATTCAAAACCTCAATACATTTCTGAAGTATGCTCATCAGTTCGTCCTTTGCAAGCATTCTAGAAAAAGAATCAGTGATAGGAGATCTAATACAACTAGAAAATTAGCACACCTAAAACTTTTTCTACAAATGAAATGTTTTTGTTCAAAGAGGAAGTAAAATCTTCATTAGTGATGACTAATTTCTTATTTTTTTTTTTTAAAGATTTTATTCAACACATGTGAATATAGAAGTATAGAGTTCTCAACACTTTGCTTAGCTGAGGAAGAATTCAAAGGTTGTGTTCACAACCTGGTTCTGATAGTGTAAGACAGAACAAGCTCATTACTCATTTCTGGTCCTTAGCATCCTTGTTGGTCAAGTGGGAACAACACTTTGTGGAGTTGTGTAGCAACCTCCAAAATGAAACATTCCCTCCTGTACTGACTGACTCAGGACGTGAATGAAACCTACAAGCCCTAGGCAGAAAAAAGCTAGATCTCACAAATCTCAGAAACTTACCAAACAGACAATAGGTATGGACTTGAATGCATACAGTAACACAATTAGTATATCAAAAAGTCTAAGCTACAATGACTAAAATCAGAGGTGGCATTGATTTAGGTAATAATAACAGGCCAACAGAAAAGGAGAAAAATTCAGAAAGAGATCCAAGGTGTACATGGAACTTAAGTATATGCCAAAGGTAGCATTTCAAATCACTGAAGAAAACATGCTAGGTGTCAGAAATAGCTATTTTCAAAAGAGTAGAACACTATTTCATATTATATATGCAAATTTATTTAGGATAGATGAAAAGTATATGATTTGAGAACAGGAAACATCCCAAATGAAGCAAAGACACTAAAGCCTAATAATAATATTTGTGGAGAAGCAGATACACAGTTAGCAACAGTATACACCGCTATAATCAGCATTACAGTCTCAGAAAGGTTACTTCCATGTATTCATTTTGTGGAAATTACACAAATTTATAAACACATATGCTTATGATTAATGTTTATATAAATGAAGAATTATAAACAACCTAAATATATTTCAAATAAGGGTCTGATTAATTAAAACACATTCCTAAATGCAGGATGTCAGAAATGATAAATAATAAAGTAGGACCATATACAGTTAGAATGGTGATAGCTAATATTTATTAATATTCCCATATATGTATCATGTTATGATACTCTATATGAGATTTTACCATTATTATTCCAGTATTAGAGATAAGCAAATAGAGTCACAGCAAATTTAAGTAACTCATTCAGTGTCCCAAAAGTGGTCACTGACAAAGGTGAACTTTGAACTTAGTGTGCCATGACATGTCTGTTCTCTCTTGGGGATGAGGGGCAGAACAAACAAAGCCTTCCTCTCTGTTCCAGGCTGAGACTTCGAGTCTGCACCAGAGCCAGCACCATGCACGTTCTGACTACACACACTGCAGCTCAGAACAGTGTCCATGCTAGGACACATAGGCACACACATTAAACCACGTGCCAAAAGTTAAAAACTCTTACAGAAAAAAAACAAAACAAAACAAAACAAAAAAAACAGGCAGAGTAAAGGGACAGCCATTGCAGAAAATTGGCTCTCAGTTTTAGAGTGGTTAATGGCAAGTGATAAAACACAAACATAAAAGATGATGGGGAGTTAGCTGTAAGAACCCTGTCTGTCATTCTTCTGTTTGTACCCTGTGCTGAGATGATCAGTCAGGGTGAGGTGCTGGAGTCCACAGAACTCTTATTCCTGGCTCATTTTGAAACTGTTTATAAGCCCTAAACATGAAAGACACATGGGAGATACATTTCTTTTTACTGTACTGCCTGGAATGTAGAAGACAAATATCCTGGATTTTGAAGATTTATACTTAAAGTTCCTGTTCTGCCAACTAGGAAAAAAATGTTTTTCAGACTTTAACCAAACAACAAAAAAAAAGTAAACTCAAAAGTGTCTGTGACATTTTGTAATACCTAATGTGTCAACTGGAGGAAAGACATTTATTCCAAAGGTACAAGCTTCTACGTCACTGTTCTTTTGTGGTGGCCACACTTTTACTTGTCCTTGCTTTACCTGCTATATCTGATCCTCAGTACTTTTGAGTTCAACTTAATAAAAAGATGGAAATTATATTGGTATTCATTGCTTTATTTATAGCACCAAACTTGCACTTTAGATCTTGGCAAATAAAAGCTGAAGGTTCAAACTGCTTTTAAGTCAGATCTGAATGATGATCCTACTAGCAGTGAAGCAATTTCATGCAAGGCACTTAACCACTATCTCTGCTTCAGATGCCTCAGGGAAAGCACGGATAGCTGACGGACCAGAAAGACTGCAAGATGTGCTCAAGGTGCCTCAGGTAGTGTGTGGCACACAGCAGGCCTTCAGTAAATGGTTCCTGTCGTCACCATTGCTTTCATAACCTATGTAGTATATGCTACCTGACTGACATTTATGATCCCTAACTGGATCCTGGGTTTAGTAGACCCAGGAAATTTAAAAGACACGAGTAAGTTCCTCTCAGACAAATGAACTTTACTAATCATAAAATTAAAACACAGAGAATCAACTGGCTAGGCTACTGGAGAGACAGTTAAGGGGAAAAGGTGCTTGCCACCTGAGTGCCATCCTTGGACTAGCAAGGTTCCAGAAATATTCTAAAGTTTATAAACTCACAGAAATAGTTTTGCTGAGCACAGTGTCACACACCTTTAATCCCAGCACTTAGGAGACAAATCAATCAGTGGTTCATAGCTACCTTGGTGTACCTAGCAAGTTCTAGGGGCCAGGGCTACAAAGTGAGACCTTGTCTCAAAAACAAAATTTTTATTTTTTTATTTTTCCAGATAGCAAGAAATTTTCCAGTTTCATACACCGCATCTGTGGATCACTGTATTAGATTTTAATACAGTGATTATTGTATTATTTAATACATTAATCATTGTATTACAGCTTTTGGGCTTTGCGGAGTCGATTGAATGAGAACATCGCACGTAAGTTCATTTACTTGGACACTTGGTTATCAGTTGCTGGTGCTGTTTAGGGAAGTTCAGCTTGTTGGAGAGAACGCCGCAGCAGAAGCCGAGTGCTTCCTCTGTATTACTTGTGCTTCAAGAAGCCTGCCACCTGCTGCCATGCTGCCCTGCTACCACCACAAACTAGCCCACACTCTGGAACTGGAAGCCCAAATCAATTCTCTTCTATAAGCTGCCTTGGCCATGCATGGTGTTTTATCACAGCAACAAAAACATAACTAACTTCCTACTGTGCCCATCTGTTCTCTTCTTCTGGGCTTGGAGGGAATGAGGACTAAATATAAATCTAGTTAACAGACTTCTTTATAAGAGGTTCATGTTGCTAGGTGTGGTGCATACACTGGCACAGACATGAGGATTCTGAGTTCAAGGCTGGCCTGAGCTACACAGCAAGTCTTTGTCTCAAAACAAAACAACAAAAATACTATGTTTGCATAAGCATTTGTACTTGCTCAGGAAATTTTGAGCCTTGGACAGAAACCCACATTACATTTAGCTCCCTTTCTCACTATTCAGATGGTCAGTATTTGAATGTGTGTGGTACATGCATGTAGTGGCTTAAATGATAATGGCCCCCAAAGACTCATATATTTAAATGTGTAGTCACCAGGGAGAGTAACTCTTTGAGAGAATGATGAGGCTTAGGAGGTGTGGCCTTGTTGGACAAAGTGTGCCACTGGGGTGGATTTTGAGGTTTCCGAAGCCCACAGCAGGCCTTGGCTCGCACTCTCTCTCTACCTAGGGAGCAGGATGTAGCTCTCAGCTACTGCTTCAGCACCTTCCTGCATGCCGTCATGGCTCCTACTGCCAGCACAGTATATTACGCAAGCCCCCAATTAAATGTTTTCTTTCACAACAGTTGTCATGGTCACAGTGAAAGAACAGTGGCTAAGAAAATGCATGCCAGTGTACAGGTGTGGGCACCGTGTGTCCACGCAGGGCCAGAGGACAACATCAAGTGTCCTTTCTAATGGGCACTTAAGTTTACAGTATTTATTTGTGTGCTTGAGGTTGTGTAAATGTGTGTGCGTATTAATGTTGCAACATGTGAAGGCCACAGGAGATCGTCTGGGCATCAGCTCTCTCTGTTCATTATGTGGACACCAGTGTCTGCCTCAGGAACCCTCACCAGCCCTCCACCTTATTTCTGGTGACAAGGTCTCTCACAGAACCAGCAACCTGCGGTTTTGGCTAGACTTGCTCACCACTGAGAAATCTCCAGGTCCTTAGCAAGAGCAGCAAGCCCTGAGCCACTTCTCTAGCCCCTGACGTCATTAAGTTCTAATCACTTGGGTAAACTGAGACATAAGAAAATTTAAAAAAAAATTTTTTTTAATTGTTTGGAAAGTGAAAATTACAAGACTTCGATCTTGTAATTATGATCTTCCTTCTGGGTTCAGCATCCAAACCTTGGAGGTCACAAAATATAGCCAATCTTGTGGCCCTTGTTCTTGAAGGTCAGCCAGCATCCAGGAAAGGATAGGTAGGAACCCTTTGGTAAGTCACCTGTCCTCCAAAGATTGGGCTCCAGCCAGTGTACATTCCACAGGGAGGAGTTGGCAGACACGTCCCATATGCTTCTACAGGGAGCTATGTGGTCAGCATGTAGCTGCATAGTCATGACCTATACTTACAGGAAAAACTAAAGGAGACTGCTGACTTTAAAAATAAAAAAATATATGTATGTGGACACCTACATGGTCTTAAAATGCAATAGGAAAGTACAACCAAACACATTAAACAATTTTGTCAGCTTTATTATGTATGTCAAATTCCCGAACGGTACTGAGTTCACTTGTCCAAGATTAAAGCCCATTCTCCAGGAAATACAATAAGAACCAGAAGGGGCCTATTGAAAGAGTATGAAAAAGGTATCTATGCTGACCAAGCAAAGCCTTTCTTAAACATTTCCTGAATCTCTTTAAATGGCTATCCAAAATTGCCCCTTTCAAAATCCAACAAATTGTTCCTGAGACATCATACTACCCTAGATGTAACTGCTTGCTTTCTTTCATCCTTGTTCATTCCTGACTGATGTCTTCCATATTCCAATTCCTGTAACTTCATAAAGCTAAGTAAGAGATACCAAGCCTTGACCCCATGACCACCATACCCTCCATCTACCAGGGGCAATTAAATTATCTCTATGCATCCCTATTTTTCCTTAATATGAGCCCTAAAGTTCTTTCATTGTCCCTGTTTGGCTCCAAAGCAGCAAAGATCAGTTGTCCTGTATCACAAATCCCTCCCTCCCGCCCCTGGGTACTAGACCTCTGAGAAGAAAATGTTAAAATAAAAAACAAATGAGCAAATTAGATATGTTCAAGTGTTAAAGGTAAACAAAAGATCTCATAGCTGAGGATGCACAAACTAGCCAAATTAAAAAAAGAAAACAAAACAACAACAAAAAAAACAGGACTCTTTAAAAAAAAAAAAAGAGATGTTTATAGTTAACTAATATTGGTTATATTTGGCCCAAAATAAATAGATTAAAACATTTCATAATAACGTATGAGCAACTTCAGGGAACAAATGTTATCCATACCCTGCTGGTAAACTGTCAAGGGCTGGAAGCACAGACTGCAGATCACACATGCAAGGCAGGAAGGAATAGATGGCTGCTACATTAACACCACCAGAAACTACACACATAAATTCAAAAGTTGTTCAAATATTCTTAGATACAACAGGCTACAAAGGAAACTTTTGGGCAGACAGGAGTTCTGGAGGAAGGTGTTACTTACTGGCAGGCTTAAAGCAGACAAAAAAGGAACAACAACAACAAAAATTACCTCAGCAGCTGCAAGGCTGATGCGTACTCCTCTGAATCCCATATTTTCTGTTCTAAAGATGTGCAATACAGCTCCCTGATCTATAAACACAGGAAATGATTTATGAAGAATAAAAGTCACATACTAAGTTTATAGCCTACTAGTTATGCAAAAATCATCATACATTGATGCTACTAATAAAAAAATAATTAAATTACAAGAGGCTTCTTGGTAATATATTATATAGATCAGAAACTACAAAAATATTATTTACGTAAAAGTCAAAAGAAATTGCATTGGGAGTGGATGACAACAGTAAGTCACTTTATAATATCATTAAGAATGGAATAAATGGCTAATTGAAGGTTTAATAGCCAAGTAAGCAGCACCACACAGAGACCACTGTTACACTGAATTTCTAAAGCTAAAGATCTGAAAATGAAGTATTCTTCCATTCACATGCATTCTACACAGGGTTCACAGGTCTGGGATATAATACAAATGTCAGCTGAGCATAATTTTACAAAGAGCAGAAGTACTGTGTTTCTTTTAATTGTTGGTACAGCACAAGGTTAACCACTAAATGCTTTCAGATTCCATCTCCCAGTTCCCCTGGAGTACAGAACTAGCTCTTCCTGTGCACACAACAGAGTGCTGAATTAGCAAGGTTATACACTACAGCACAAATATGGGATACAATCCATTGGGATTCACATGGCTATTATAGCTTTAACTTTCAGAACAAAACCATCTATTAGTAATGTGAGCAGCTGGAATAGACTGTGTTCTTATTCCAAGAATTGGTTCCATTTCAAATTCTGATGCCTGAGTAATAGAGAAATCAAAACAAGAAAGTACTATTATTCCTACTTTGTTGATTCTAAATGAGGAAATCTTATTTACCTGTCGGCCCAGTGGGTACTTGGGAAGAGATGAGGTAAAATTATGAAGACATCTCAAAACAAGGAAGTAATTGATATGGTAAACATGCAGGTTTTCCAATAATGATTGAGTTTCCTCCTAAAAAATCAGAGAATACATTACTAATATGGACGGTGGTGAAATAAAATTTAAAAATTACTTTCTGGATACAAATTTTCTAAAAAGCTAATTGAGTATTTAAAATTACAAATTACTTTTCTTAACTCACAAAAACTTGACACATCAAATTCGGGACACAGTCACACAATTTTTTAGTATTGAATCTAGCTGTGTTTTACACACATCAGAACTGACTTTGTAATTTAGTGTCTGTCCTGTCATTCACCAATTAATTACAGACTTTTATCCTCTGTCTGGCACTATTAAGCAACTGAGAGTGACATAATTTTCCTCGACTTCACTGAAATAGCACACTGTGTAGTTCTGGCCTTCATTTCAGTTGAGAGTCTCCTTTGAGATTTTTATCTCTAACATCTCACGGCCTATAAGCAAAGCAAATACAGTGCAGACCATTCACGGTTTATACTCTAACAGCAACTGTCTGATTCCTTCCTGGATACGGTCAACCAGGGCTCACAAACTAACATACACTAGTACTTTTCTGTTAAATCATAATGATGAGATTAAAATGGCTGGACTTCCTTCAGCTGATAGATGCTGCTCCACCAAGCCTTCTGCCGTCTTCCCCGTCATGATGGTGATGTATTTCTATGCCTCTCGAACTCTTGTCCTCAGTCTCCCCTGTGTTGTCTTTGCTTTCCAATTTCCTGCTCTGATTTCAAGCTACAGTGTAAGACTGAAGACAGCAGTCTTAAGGATGCTGTTCAAACAAGCACACAAAACTGTGTAGGAAAATGGGATTGTGGACCAGGTAACCTGTTCAAGGTCACACTTAGAGGGCAAAAAGAGTGAAAACCGTCCCGCCCAGCTATTTATATTTCCTTTTCCATGCAAAGTCTGGTATTTGAGGGTCTTATGCTAGAACAGCAAGAGAAAGAGAAGTGCAATAAACAAGCCTGAATCTTTATAATCTTGCATTAAGGCTAAAGAAAAGTTCCAGAAGAAAGAAAAATGGCCACCTCCTGTTTGCCCACATGGTGGCTTCTGAAGGTGACACCAGATTAAGAGGCTGAAGGAAGGCAACATTTAATTCAGTCACAGGACTAGAAGAAGCCAAGCAAGAACTGACCTGGAACCCTTCTCCCTGAGAGTTAACTCTTACAGTGTTTGAAATTGCCAAGGGAAAAAAGTTATTACAAGTTCCACCTAGCCAGGGAGTGGTGGCACATGCTGGGAATTGAACTTGTGTTCTCTGGAAAAGGCAGCCAGTGCTCTTAACCACCGAACCATCTCTCTAACCCTTGATTAATTATTTTCTTTGTTCTGTAAAACTGTAACAGCTTCCATGCTGGAATATAGAATTTGAGAATCTTTGTTTTCCTGGCTGTGGTCACTCAAAATGGCTCTAGAACAAACTCTCCCTTATTCCCTTTAAGATAAGAGCTGGGAGGTGGCGTGGCTGGAGAGATGGCTTGGCGGTTAAGACCATTTGCTGTTCTTCCAGAGGTTCAATTTCCAGCACCCATATAGGAGCTCACAAGTCTGCAACTCCAGTTCCAGAGAATCTGACACCCTCACACAAACATACAGACAACATAAAATAAAATAAAAATAAGTAAATAATAATAATAAAAGATAAAGCAGTTCTTGTGTCAACACAATAAAGAAAATGGAGTTTCTCCCTCAGTTTTTCAGTCAACAAGTAACAGTGTACTAACAAGCAAGATGTTCCTTCTGTTGTCAACATTCATAGAATACACTTGCTAAGGTCAACTTAGGTTGTAATTTTTAGTAGCATTTAGATGCAAAATAGATCCTGTTAGGTCCAAAGCAGGTCTGTCCTTTCGCAGCCCATGAGTTAATGTAGACCATTCTCTTGAGAAATTTACCTCCTCTTGTACCAGCCCTCTTCCGAAACTACTTACCATCTCTTCCTCTATTAGTACACCTCTGGGAACATGCTGATCACGTCCATCCTCAGCCTTCTACTGACCCGCTTCTATCACCCAAACCATTTTAAGATAAAGATCCCCCAAAGCCCCTAAACTGGCAGTCTGTATCTCTGTCATCAGATTTCCGCCTGGCTTGCAGATACCATTCAGGAATCAACCTCCACTTTGCAACTACTCCAAATCCAGTTCACCTCCCTGGCCCCAGAAGTCCTACAGAACCAAAGGGCCCTCAACTGGCTCACCAGTGAAAAGAAAGGCACTTGCCTCTTCCTCAAATTAGAGTGTTGCTACTATGGGAAACAGTCCAGTCAAGTTGAAGACATTAAAATCATACACTAACTGGCTAACAAACTCTAGGAACTGACTCCAGTGTGGGATTCTCAGTATGGTTCTGTCTGGGGTTCTGGCTTCTATCCCTCCTTGGCCTACTGGTTTCTCTCCACTTCATAATAATGACTACCTCCTGTCTCTTCAAGTTCCTTTGAGAATTAGTGAAATAACCCAAAAGTCAGTAAACCATATCTTAGCATTGCCTGCCTAACTCCCTGGCTTTTGACCCATGTTTTAGCCTTTCTAAGATGCTCCCTTAAAGTCTCCATTCCTTAAAGTCTTCAGTGATGGTGCTGAAGGACTCTGACTTGGTCAGTAACCTGAGGAACTATTACTGGGTTAACAGAAGCCTAAATTCAGCAATCCTCAGGAACCTTACAGGCCCAAACCACTACCTCCAATACCTGCCCCAATGGTCAACTGCCTCATGTAAGGGCATCTAGTGAATCCAAAGAGCCTGTATCAGCTCAAAGACCCTACCTGCTGACTATCATACAAATGCTTCTTGCTTTCCCACAAAGCTCCTGTCCTCTATTCTTGGAGGCAAACTGACAGCTTGTTTCTTCAATAAACTTTTCTTTCTACCCATGAGTGGTCCATCTGGGTGGTTTCATTTCACCCTTGTTTATAGTCCCCAAAGCTGATGACCACATGACTTTAAAAGTAAAAATAATCCTTCTTGGGAGTCTAGAGAAAAACAGCCAGCAATAGTTTCAAGTCATCAAACCAGGTGTGATAGTGTACACCTTTAATCCCAACATTCAGGGAGTTAGAGTCAGGCAGATAGCTATGAGTTGGAGGCCAGCCTAGTCTACAGAGTCCAGGACAGCCAAAGCTACACAGAGAAACCCTAGCTCAAAAAAATAAAGTCATCAAAACAATGTAGTTTTCTTTTGAATTAAGCCTCAAAATTAATAAAATAAAATAAGCCAAAATAAAGCTATTAATGTAACAGGATTGAAGGAACAAAAGAGTTGGGGTGAAAAACAATGTAAAATGCAGTGTACTTGTGTATAAAATTCTAAAAATTCATTATTAAAAGTACAGGATTGCAAAGAAAAAAAGGAATAATAGGTATTTAGTCTTTTCTATCAAACACTTTAAACTTGTGTTTAGGAATGGGAACGCAAATCTTTTAATCCCTCTTCTAAAATAACTTGTGTTTAGGAATGTCAAGATTTTGATCCTCCCCATTAATATGCAAATGTTTTGACCCTTCCCTGTGCAGCACACAAGGGCATCTGCAGCATTCCCAGAACCCGCAGCCTTCGGCAGTGACTCCCTTCTCCTGTCCCATTCCCTGGGCATCATCCCTTGTAAGGTTAGCCAATGAAGGAAATCACTGCCGTCAACTGCCTTAGAGTGAACACAGTAAGCTTCCTGTCTGCATGTGCTTGCTCTCCATTTTATGCTCTCTTGATCAAGAATATCTGAAGGGAGTTGGAGAGATGGCTCAGCCATTTAAAAGGATAGGCTCACAACTAAAAATATAAGAGTCTGGTTCCCAGAACACACCAAGGAAGAAATGCAGTAAACAGTCTCAACCCGCTATAAAGCGTACTAGACACAACTAACAAATCAGTGACACGTCCACAGTGGTTCAAAATTGACACTGTAATTATGGGTGTAACCAGCATCCCTCTAGCTGGATTTAAGGCCGATAGGAAGGAATCATGCCTGTATTGTAAACCTGGCCAACTCCTCATGACTAGTGAGGTTATAGACCCCAGAACAGGACCTGCTACTGGTATTTTCCTACTCCTGTTTCCACTCAAATTAACTTCTTCTGCCCTGGTCTTAATGATTTATCTCCATCTGCTAATTCTGGCCTTAGCTTATTCTTGGGTTTTGTTGTTATACATAAGAAATAAAGGTAGATCACAAAACTATTTATCTGATGTCCTGGGAGCTCTTGGGACTCTTTTCTTTGTGTTAAGTTTTTGGCATGTTCTCCTTCCCCCCCTCCCCCCACAGAGACTTTCTCAAAAACTCATTCTTCTAATATGGTGGGGTGTTTACTCTGCATGAGTTTCTAACGCTGTTAAGTTGTAATGTTATTAAAGCATAATCTGATAGATTCAAGAAACTATGTGATGGCAAAGGATCACAAGGTTTAGGTGTTTGCTTTGTAAACCTGAAGACCCAAGTTTTCTTCATGAATTCCAGTGGAAGGAGAAGCAGCACTCCAGAAAAGTGCTCCTCTCAGCTTTCCATGTAAACCATGGCATGTGTCCATGTGCATTCACACACATCACACATACACAATACAATTTTAAAATACAATAAATTACTTTTCTTTTATGTCAAGACTTGCATAGTCTCCTAATATGTGACCTATTTTAGAATGCTCCATGGGAGAATTCGTATTCTGGAGCACCTGGATGGAATGCTAATTATATTATCATTTAATTCAAATGTTCCTTTGTTTACTGGGAAGACCTATCAATTGGCAAAAGTAGGGTACTAAAGTCACTCACTATGACTGTTTCAGAGTTAATGTATGATTTTACCTCTAGTAGTACTTGTTTTATGAAATCTGATATTCCCATGCCTGGTACATGTTTAGAATTATAATGTCCTCTTGAAGGACTGTTTCCTTACTCAGTATGAAGTGGCCTTCTTTTAAAAAGTATTCTATTCAGTTTTATTTTGTGTGTATGGTCACATCTGTGTACATATGTACAGAAGAAGCCAGAAGCCAGAAGACGGTGCCAGATCCCTGGGACTGGATTTAAA